GCCTTTGTACAAATGAAGACACCAACACTATGTATGGCCTTTGTACAAATGAAGACACCAACACTATGTATGGCCTTTGTACAAATGAAGACACCAACACTATGTATGGCCTTTGTACAAATGAAGACACCAACACTATGTATGGCCTTTGTACAAATGAAGACACCAACACTATGTATGGCCTTTGTACAAATGAAGACACCAACACTATGTATGGCCTTTGTACAAATGAAGACACCAACACTATGTATGGCCTTTGTACAAATGAAGACACCAACACTATGTATGGCCTTTGTACAAATGAAGACACCAACACTATGTATGGCCTTTGTACAAAGAAGACACCAACACTATGTATGGCCTTTGTACAAATGAAGACACCAACACTATGTATGGCCTTTGTACAAATGAAGACACCAACACTATGTATGGCCTTTGTACAAATGAAGACACCAACACTATGTATGGCCTTTGTACAAATGAAGACACCAACACTATGTATGGCCTTTGTACAAATGAAGACACCAACACTATGTATGGCCTTTGTACAAATGAAGACACCAACACTATGTATGGCCTTTGTACAAATGAAGACACCAACACTATGTATGGCCTTTGTACAAATGAAGACACCAACACTATGTATGGCCTTTGTACAAATGAAGACACCAACACTATGTATGGCCTTTGTACAAATGAAGACACCAACACTATGTATGGCCTTTGTACAAATGAAGACACCAACACTATGTATGGCCTTTGTACAAATGAAGACACCAACACTATGTATGGCCTTTGTACAAATGAAGACACCAACACTATGTATGGCCTTTGTACAAAGAAGACACCAACACTGTGTATTGCTTATGTACAAATGAAGACACAAACACTATGTATGGCCTTTGTACAAATGAAGACACCAACACTATGTATGGCATTTGTACAAATGAAGACACCAACACTATGTATAGCCTTTGTACAAAGAAGACACCAACACTGTGTATTGGTTATGTACAAATGAAGACACAAACACTATGTATGGCCTTTGTACAAATGAAGACACCAACACTATGTATGGCCTTTGTACAAAGAAGACCCCAACACTGTGTATTGCTTATGTACAAATGAAGACACAAACACTATGTATAGCCTATGTACAAATTAATAGACAGGAATATATATGGCCTTTGTACAAATGACAGGAATATATATGGCCTATATTTACACAGAATTGTACAAGTGAGAAGACCATGACTGCTAACAAGGTAACCAGGAATAAAGTAGCGTTTTTGCATTTTGCCGGAAGCAATGTGATGCTGAAGAGACTTGGAAGCTGTGTTACAATGGAGACTGGGATTGTCTGGTGACCAACCATCTGGCAGATCAATACTATACTATTATGTCCACAGGTCTGCCTGGACATCTCATTATCACTGATTGTGGTCACCACAATCACCTGGTCACCTAGCATCACACTCTCACTACTGGTTCACCACAACTAAATTATCCGAGAAACCCCTCCAGGACAGCACCAGACCACAGACCAGTCAGACATTTCTTAATGTGTGTAGGCTATTACCTACATCTCACATCCAAAACACTTAGTCAAAGAATGTACGTATATCGTACGCCGGCTGGAAAGATTCTTTGATTTTTATACAACCTCATCAGCATAACTAAAAGGTTCTCATATTTTTATTTATTGGTATTTTTTTCAAAGATATTTTAATGTTCAAAATATTTCAAAACTTGACTCTTCCATTACCCAAAAATGTTTCATTATCTATACAAGAACAAATAAACAAAAACACAAAGTAAACACTTTTCCAGCAGAACATCATGGTATTGCCATTCCCTATTTTTATGCTTCGGTAGATTGGACCTATAGCATCCATCAGTAATATAAATATAGAAAGAGAAACTCAAATAGCACATGAAACTTGCAGGAAGTACGGAGCTCACCAGGTGGCACCACCTGTCTGTGGAGGTGATTCAGCTAAGATTCAACTCTCTAGGTCCAGGGAAGATAAAGATTCATGTACTCTATTGGCATATAATTACTTACACATACTACTGGAATGTGTACTGTAAGCAATTTCAGAGAGAGCATAATATACCAAAATGTCTGTTGCTCTCGGTCAATGCACCAGTAAGACCTGGGAGATAAGAATATTTGTCAATCTCCGTTAGCGAAGATTTAGTTATGTATTATTAACAATGTACGCATGGCAACCAAAATGTGTCATCTGTGAATTGTAAAGTCTCTGAATCATTATAGCTACCTTCCAACCCAATGTATCACCAGACAACAATCATCTGTAAAACATGCAATGACAAAGTATAAGAATTTCAGTCCTACACTGTTTCCCATCCTCACATGGCAGCTTACCAAATTTATCGAAAATGATTTGGCAAATTTTTCAAACACTTATTAACATTTGTATACCGAACTGGACAAATGCGATACAATCTTTTGTTTCATCACGGAATCAGCCTAATAAAATCCTGTATTTCTCTCCAAAAAATATAAGAAAAATGTATAAAATAAATTTTCTCTGAATTCATACCAATGAAGTCCCTCCATACATTTTATGTCAAGATGATGGTAAATTTGATATATGAATATGATGATTATGATGATGTAGGTCTACGATGATGATATATTTGAAGTACAACAGTAATAATTATGTGTACAGCTGTAATGAATGAGCCATAAACTATCTTGACAACTTCAGGCTAACTGTTTGTAAGGAAGACAATAAACTATCTTGCAACTTCAAGCTAACTGTTTGTAAGGAAGACAATAAACTATCTTGACAACTTCAGGCTAACTGTTTGTAAGGAAGACAATAAACTGTCTTGACAACTTCAGGCTAACTGATTGTAAGGAAAACAATAAACTTTCCTGACAACTTCAGGCTAACTGTTTGTTAGGAAGACAATAAACAACTATCTTGACAATTTCAGTCTAACTGTTTGTAAGGAAGACAATAAAATGTCTTGACAACTTCAGGCGAACTGATTGTAAGGAAGACAATACAAAAAATCCAGGACCTTAAATCCAATATTAATCCAGACATTATTTTACGAAATTCCACAAATGCCTTATTTCCATTTTTATATTAAATATTGGGTTATCTTTGACTTTAGAACATTGTCAATTAAGGACTGGTTGTGTGATTGGTTGCTAGGACATGCTGGTTGGGTTCTGGGATTACAGAGTGGCGCCACTTGATGATAGTACCAAAACAAAACACCAGTCTTTGGTATGGCAAGTGGAAGCCTCCAACATTCACTTGAGCATGAAAAATCATGTCAACATTGCTTCATTATTCATATTGTAGAGAAATTCTCTATGTTGGAGTCGAGGTTACACTAGCAAGATGGTAACATGGTGGTGTACAGGGCTAATTTGACAACAAATCCCTAGTAGACCTTCCCATGTCATGAAAACCCTTTGCAGAACTTCCCTCACCATAAGAAGATCCTTGTATGCCTTCCAGTACCATTCAAAACTCTTGAAGACCTGCCAATGTGACTATCTATATGCCTTATAGCATTTCCCCCGCCATGACTGGCCCCTTACAGACCTTCTTCTACCACGACAGATCCCTTGTTGACCTTCATGTACCATAACACCCACTTTAGACAGATCCTTTCTTGACCTACAGGTACCATAACAACCACTTTAGGACCTTTTCACACTGAGGAAGATCCCTTAAAGATCATTCAACAAATCAGAGACTAACTGTAGACCTTTCCACATCATGAAAGACTGCTTACAGACCTTTTCAAACTGAACAAGTCTCCTGAAGCTTGAAGACCAGCCCATATGTACAATGTACCATGAAAGGCACTTAATAGACTTTCCCAACAATAACAGACCCCTTATAAATTAGTAGCTAGTAGATTTTCCTGTACCATGACAGACCTTCTTGTAGACTATCCAAAACTTCAGGTTTGCTGCTGAGCATATTTGGAGTGTAACCTTGCCTCATTATACAGACAGGCTTTATGCAATATAACCATGTGTGGGCAGTCCCCATGAAGCTGTATAACAAATGTAACAATCAGGACAGGATTGACAATCAGGCACAGACAGATCTCACAATAACCATCTGTCACGGTACATTTACATCTATATAAACATTATTGATCTCTGATAAATGATCAATTTATTAATATCATCGCCATTTAAATAACCTATTAAGACTACAAAATAGCATAAATGCTGATGGCTGTGTGAACAGGAAAAGTCAGGAGTGCAGCCTTTGGATATTGACATAGGTCAGACAGTCTGCGACATATAGCAGATACGATCATCAGACAAGGTACATTGCAAAATAAAACGGAACCAATCCCAATATTGAATATTCATTGCTTCTGAAAATATTTTTTTTTGTTTATTCTAGAAAACAAATTGATAGAATAAAGACGAAAAATTGACAACAGCCTCCTCAAATTATCAGAAAAATATTTAAGCCCTGCAAAAGGTCTCCACTCCTACAATTCACAAGTATGATTGGACAGTACATGTTTTCAATTATGTCATAGACTGTTATTGGATCTGTAGAATAGATTATTAAAGAAAAAATAAGCAGAAATACTTAATCACTTTATTTTTTGTGAGAAATTAATTTTTGTATTACTTGCCGAGGAGACATATTTCCATATTTTAGATCTTTTGAATCCAGTTTTTATAAATATTGAAAAAAAGCATTCTCTCAATGTAGAATTCAAGCTTAAAGGCTTATCATGAGTTGAATTTGTGCAACTGGCAAGAGTACATTCACATACACTGGATATAGATTCTCAAGTATGATAATACGTCTTGTATGTCTGCAGCTTGAACAACCTTGAATTTCCAACCAAGCGGAGGAACATGTTTTTGTTTTATGTGTGATAAAGATCTTAGCAACATTGATGAATATAAAATATAGGACTATATCCTTACATGATCATTATTTTATTGAAATGGATAAAAAAAAAGTGTTACTTACCAATGCCAAATTGACTTCATTGGAGTCGGCTTCTGGATAGGGAGTGTAAATAGCTAATGCCACACAGTTGGCAAAAATTGTCAGCAGAATCAGGTATTCAAAAGGCGTGCACGTGGGTTAAGGAAAACATTCAAAATATCAAAAAAACATATTCAAAATAAATTAATTGTATTACATATATTTTCCTAAAGTAGAGGAAATATTGAAATATAAATATATATTGAATAGGTACTTGAGGGAATTGATATTTTCTTACAGAAATATGGGGGGGGGGGGGGGGGATATCTTATTGTTATATAAATTCATTAACTAAACACAGTGAAAATCAGTTAATTCTCAACAGCGAAAGAAAATCAAGTACCCATTATCATGCAATAGTTTGTTGGATCCCAGACAAAAGCATACATCACTCTCAATAAGCTGGCTATGATTGGCTCTGTCGGTGTTGCCATGCTCAATATAAAACACAAGCTATTACCAGACAAAACAGATAAAAAATTAATTTTGGTAATCTGGTTTAGAACTTTTCTTTTTCTGGATCGCTCTAAATAAATAAGAGAACCTATTTATCTTGCAATAAGTCAAGGAGACCAACACATAATCTCTGAATCAAAGTATGGGGTCGGGCTTATTACTTGACAACCAAATATACAGAACGGCAAAATAAAAAAAATTGAGTCAACTACAGTTAATCTTAAAATGATGCAAAATGTAAATAACTAACCCTTTCACCTCAGGTAACTTTAGTAGCCATATATTTATCTGGGTGAGCATATCAAAATATAGGCATTCTAGTGTGTCCCTTTTGTACTGCATTTGCTGCTCATCTATTGTGTCCCTTTTAAACTGCCTTTGCTGCACAGACTATTTTGAGCATTTAATTGATCAGGTTATTGACCCCCCACATAGGAATACAGTTCCGTTTCTCTTCCAGCACCAATGCTGACCAAGCGACTATGATCAGAAGATTCAGCCTACATCTTCTTACTTTTGTTTAACCGATGAATGTTCTATTAGGGAGAGTTTGGGATGTACAGACTCCTTGTTGTCAAGGACAGTCTTGGGGGAGGACATTATTTGTCTGTAACGTCGGTCCAGGCTGCTGTTGCTAAGGAACATCATACAGTGCTAGACCCTGATCTCTGTAGCTGGCAGCCATGAGATTTCCTTGAAGACCAGGGGAGTCTTTATACCACGTGCAATCCATGCACAAGGGAAGATCTGGACTTGTCCAAGAACATGACCATACCCTGATGTGCATTAAGAACTATCCTACAGATGCTGCATTCACCCATTGCATTTGCCTGATGTGTAATTGCAAATTAAATTGTTGTCAAGTCCTAAACAAAATTGCACAGTTGATTGTGCAGTACTTTTGGATCTATTGGAACATAACCTTTTTTTAACTGTGTTCTTTGCCATTTCCATCATCACATGTACAAGGAAATGATTATGCAAGTATGAAAGTTGCACTTCCCATTCCTGCCTCGACATGGTTATATGACGCTATCATTTTAGAGAGGGACTTTTACCTTCCCTATGGCATCAAGTTTTTGGACAAGAAAGCAAATATTCAATGGATGAACTCCTCATTGATTAGTGACCTGACCTTGCAGGGTACCTTGCATAAGAAATGCATTGGCATGACAACAACAGTCAGCTTAAAAACGCATGGTATTGTTTAAGGTTGATTCTTTAAAAGCTTATACTGTGGAAACTGAAGGAGGATATGTATAAGGATTGGCAGAGACAGCATTTTTAAACTATGCTTTCTTAAACTCATCTTTGGAATGGTCATCATTGACAGCTTGGTCACACATCAGTGATTTTGAATACTGCATGGTCAGACAGCAACCCCAGTTAACAAAATTGTTAAGTTTCAAGGGACAGAGTCCAAATTGATAATGCAACACACTTTCTTTTGGCAATTGCATTCCTTTTCCCTTTCTGTTTACCAATACATATATATCATTTTATAGCATTTCTACTGAACTGCAACAGATATAGTGGGCTTATTATCAGGCATGGGCTTATTGGGGAACAATCGGTGGTAAAGGTTTTATTTTTTGTCATAAGAAACCTGACATAAGGAACCCAAAAACTTTGCAAACTGGTCACATGCGAACGCTGTCATCAAGCCTAGTTGTGCATTCTAGCGGAATTGTATGCCAATACCATTTACACTGTCATTTGTGTAGTAATTTATATATATACAAATATGTCTTTTGATTCTATTGTAGGCTGGTTAAATACATTTCAAATATGACTACTGGATCAGAAGATGTCAGGTGTATCTAGGAGAAAACACATCTGGTACATACATATGTTGTGTGTTCGGTCTTTACCAACAACGCACATTGTAATTATAAACCACAACATATATTGTGTCTTGTGCCAAGCAATAAAGTACAATTATACCCACAGCTACTTCTACCTTTATAAATGTCAAAACTCTAATCAAGACCAATTTTGTGAATGAAAAAAACACCTGTTGACTTGTTTTTCAGCAGACCTGATTATAATTATTGATCAAGTAGAGGTTCAGCATCACTTGTTGGTATTATCACATCCCACACAGTCTCCGATAGTGGGTCAATGGATTGCCAACAAACAGTGCCCAGTTTTGCTCACATTTAAGTTATGTCAGTGCCATTAGAATAAGTGACAGTCAGTGTATGGTATGACAAATCGCCCTAGACTATTTAGCAGGGAAAGCCTGCAGAAGTCAATAGTGATCTGTAACATTAACTATAACTTAACCCATATAACACACAGAATGTTCCCTGATAAGATATAATGGGCACAGATCTCATCACTCTTGTAACCTCTAACCATAATCATTCACCGTCCTATATCCCCTAACCATGTCTATGAACCGTCCCATATCCCCTAACCATGTCTATGAACCGTCCCATATCACCTAACCATGTCTATGAACTGTCCTATATCCCCTAACCATGTCTATTAACCGTCCCATATCCCCTAACCAAGTCTATGAACCGTCCCATGTCTCCTAACCATGTCTATAAACTGTCCTTTATCCCCTAACCATGTCTATGATCCATCCTATATCCTCTAACCATGTCTATGAACTGCCCTATATCCCCTAACCATGTCTATTAACTGTCCTATATCCCCTAACCACGTCTATGAACTGTCCTATAGCCCCTAACCATGTCTATGATCCATCCTATATCCTCTAACCATGCCTATGAACTGTCCTATATCTTCTAACCATGTCTATGAACCTTCCTATATCCACTAACCATGTCTATGAACTTTCCTATATCCCCTAACCATGGCTATGAACCGTCCTATATCCAATTACCATGTCTATGAACCGTCCCATATCCCCTAACCATGTCTATGAACCGTCCTATATCCCATTACCATGTCTATGAACCGTCCTATATCCTCTAACCATATCTATGAACCGTCCTATATCCTATTACCATGTCTACGAACCGTCCTATATCCCCTAACCATGTCTATGAACTGTCCTATATCCTCTAACCATGTCTATGAACCGTCCTATATCCACTAACCATGTCTATGAACCGTCCTATATCCTCTAACCATGTCTATGAACCGTACTATATCCCATTACCATGTCTATGAACCGTCCTATATCCCATTACCATGTCTATGAACCGTCCTATATCCCCTAACCATGTCTATGAACCGTCCTGTCTCCTTTTACCAGGACTATTCACCATCCTGTTTCCCACTTATCATAAACCTATTGAAATTATGTTGAATCCGTTACATTCTGCAGACATGCAATTTCTCTCACTTCTATACAAATTTCCACCAAAAGTTCTATCATATCTCTTCAAGGTTAACTTGAACTTTTAAATAATGTTTGAATTTGTAATAAATTACAATCTACAGCACGCCCTTAAATGACCCTAGCTGTTAATCATATAATAGGACATAAAACACAAACTAACTTTAACTAAATCTAGTTTTCTTCCTCGTTATGCCTAGATTTTTCAGTAACTGAACAAAATGCTACTATAAACTGCGACCATGATAAAGGAATGTGGAAATATCACCTAACTGAAAATGGTTAATTACTAGGGTTTGTATTTATATGTGATCAGCCCACACTCTGGCTGCCTTGCCTGGATAGTTATTGGAATAATTCTACAGGTACCTACAGAATAAATTAATAAAAGGATATATGCCTACTGAACTGTTAACCTTTACACAACCAATCCACAAGCATTTATTGACGCAAGTACTCAATGGCTGATATTGAGTTTATTTTATGTGGAGCAGACTACATGACCCCTTCTGACCTTAATTGCCACAAGAAATTAACGCATTCACCCCTGCAATTTCATGACGGACTATATTCCAACCTTTGAATTGGAAGAGTTTAAATATGTCTTCAGGGGTGAATGAATTAATACCAGTAATTATAGATGCAGATCAGACCAGAAAAGAACCGATGTCTACAAAAGTTCATACTCGTCATTTGCCTTATTATAGATTGCCTTTGCACATTGCTGTCATGGCCACAGTATATTACCATGGTGATGGTTACAACAATGCTATGCTTGGTCCTATTCTATCTATCTCCCTTTTTTTCCAATTAAGAAATCATTGATAAGATTTGTCAACTACTGATTTAATTTATCCACAAATGTGTCGACATTTCTAAGCAGGTGGCCCATGGTCAGAGGAGAAGTAATCGTTAGATGGAGCTACAATTGCGAGAGTCCGTTGTCTGCAATTGTAGATGTGTCCAGCACGTATATCAAATGACTACAACTGAACATCCCCCCCAGTATATAGCAACACTGTAAATCCCATGACATTCTTGGTTTACACAAAATCTACCATCAGCCTAGAAAGAGAATTAATATCCTGCTGAATTTGAAACTTACATGTTGTTTTGAGTGATGAGTTTCAGATCATCCGGTGCATTGTGATTGTCATGTAATTTTTTCAGATACTTTTCACACACAGGGTGAGGGGAATATCAGATTAATATTTGTCAACATTTTCCCAATGAAATATGCATTTGGTCGACATGTCTATAAACTACATATTTTTTTTTTAACAAAACCGACAACACAAACATGCATCAAGGTAAATAGATAGGAATGTAAAAGCACTTAAAAATCAAAATGCACTTGTGCTAATCATGATGTAAAGAACTCCAATGCACATCACCCCAAAGTGACAAAGCCTGGTTGTATTTCCATTCTAATCACAGAAGCCACTGATGGAATTCCCTGTGAAATAATCCTATATATTATGCATGATGTTTTCAGAAAAAGGATATCTCCATTCCACAACTCTAATACATAGCTTTCGTATAGGATTTTGTAAGTTCAAACAGAACAAAGCACGTTGCGGTCTGACATTTTGGTTCTGCTGTTTGCGTGCGTTGGCGCGTTTACGTGTCATTGTGGCAGCGGCTGTTGTGGCAGCACCGAGTGCCACGTTCCAGGCAGGGCTAAGTGGCTTCTTTTCGCCTGATGTGGGGGTGATTTGAGTGACTCCACTCCCCTGACTCTTTGGTGTGGTGGGCGAGGCTGGCTGTAGCGGGCCCGACCCTGGCCCCTGTCCCAAACCTTGGCCCCCAGCGTGCAATTCCTGCGGTTGATTCTGTGGCAGACTTGGCAGAGCTGGGTTACTGTGGTCCCGTTCATAATTCCCTCCTGAAACACACAAGCACAAAAAGTTAAGTTCATGATTCCTGTTCTTCTGTAACATGTTCAAATATGTCCTTCTATATTTTTATCGACTATGCTACATCAGTGAACAGGTTATGATCAAAATTGTATTGTCATCACCCAAAAGGAGGGTTCTAGAACCGTTAATAAATCTGATATAGGATGGGATTACAGGATATAGGTGTTTAAATGCAATAAAATAGGTCAGTTTAGCTCTTAACTGTTAAACAAATACTACAGATCATGTCAAAAGGATTGGATTTATTCATTTATTAACTTCAGAATCATAATCGATAATCAGTTTGTAATCGAAAGTAGTAAACTGATTACATAATCGGTTTATAATTTTATGGGACTGAAAACTTTATTATAATGAGAACACTATACTGTTGCATCAATAGACAGAGTTGTAAACTATAAATTAGGTCTCATTCTTTAATAATGAATGGACTTCAAGCAATTTTTATGCAGTTTTGTCAATCAATCATAAGAATAAATGACTTTCAATGACACTTTGATGTCAAAAAACAGATTATATTGATTACGGAATTAAAAATCAATAATCGGAATTGGAAAAGGCAAACTGATCAATTGTCGATTATAATCGATCATCAGCCAAACACTAGTATAGACACAATGAACCCAACAGTAGAAAATGGGTAAACGGTATGAATGTATGTCAAGAGAGATACAGGCAGTATACAGTATATGATGTTATAGAAGAGCACAGAAGTCATAAGAATATTGCAAGGACTGATATGTGTGAAGCAAAGCTCAGTGCTGGTCTCTTTAATGTCATTTAAGCAATACAAGACACAGAAGTAAACGTCTGGTTCTGAAGAGACTAATTTCAGCCCCCCTGTTACAGGTTCTGAAGAGACATATTTCAGCCCCCCTGTTACAAGTTCTGAAGAGACATATTTCAGCCCCCCTGTCACAAGTTCTGAAGACACATATTTCAACCCCCCTGTTACAAGTTCTGAAGACACATATTTCAGCCCCCCTGTTACAAGTTCTGAAGAGACGTATTTCATCTCCCCTGTTACAAGTTCTGAAGAGATATATTTCAGCCCCCCTGTCACAAGTGCTGAAGACACATATTTCAACCCCCCTGTTACAAGATCTGAAGAGACATATTTCAGCCCCCCTGTTACAAGTTCTGAAGAGACATACTTCAGCCCCCCTGTTACAAGATCTGAAGAGACATATTTCAGCTCCCCTGTTACAAGTTCTGAAGAGACATATTTCAGCCCCCCTGTAACAAGATCTGAAGAGACATATTTCAACCCCCCTGTTACAAGATCTGAAGAGACATATTTCAGCCCCCCTGTTACAAGTTCTGAAGACACATCTTTCAGCTCCCCTGTTACAATCAAGCAATTCACAAAGAGATACGGCTGTCTTATTCTTTGTCCCCAGTTGGATGTCTAGGACCTGTTCGTTCATACGGAACAACCGGTACGTCTATTTCAAAATGTAACAGTTTTGGGTAAAATCCTGGCAGACCTGCAAAAGTTTATCAGCCCTTGCAAGGTTTGGTCAAGGCTTGCCTGAGAGCAGTATCAGATTACTAGGTCTGACCTCATTTCATAGACCAACACCTCTGGTCCAACCTGTTCAACCGTTTGGACCGCAATAAACGAAAAATGGCCATGGGCTCATCTGCCTGACCACGTTGGTTTTATCAGGTACTCCAGTTTAATTTCCTCCCATATTAAAACCCCACACCGGCAAACATCCAAGCCAACAAGAACGATTAATATACGGTTAGTTGAAGTAACTTGTTTCATAATTCACAATCCAAAACAAGCCAACAATATACTTCACAAATAAAGGTGCAAGACGTCAGTGTACACCTATAGAGGGTGGTCACATGACTGCAGCCATACCTATTATGTAAGTTGACACTGTTTCTCATTCCTACCTAGGAGTCCCCAATCATCTCCGCGACTCCCTTGAACAGGGTAACATACACCCCATGAACAGAGGAGTAAGGCATACACTAGCTACCACTGATTATATGGTCATAAATAGTCTTGCTGTGTGTCTAGATAAATGTTAACATAAAAATAGAGATCATTATCAAGATCTTGTGTCATATTACATACGTACAGGTCCATCTCACTATAGGCTTGGTTGTATATCCCTGAACATAATAAATGGAGAATTCATACAATAGCATTGTTCAGATAATGATAAAGTTTGAGTAATTTTAAATTATGCATATAAAATTCCAAACTGTCGTCATCACCAGCATCGAGGCAACTTAACCATAAGAACATATATGAACACTATGCAACTTGTTTAATTTAACTTTATATGTATGCAAACTTCTAGCAAACGGAAAAAAAATTCCTTAAAACATATTTCAAAATTTGATGTAAGTTGTATTGTGATATCAAAATGATATTCCGATCAAAACTGACAGGTCAGACAAAATATTTATACACTTCGCACTGAATATCTAAGTCCAGGAGAAACACATTTATCTTTAGTCCAGTGACACATCTAGATAAAACGTCTCCAAAAGAGATGACCTTATTAGCATATTAAAGAGAAATCAAGATGAAAAGGACATGTCATTCATGCTAATCTATAGATCACAGGTCCCTTGATACAAGTGTCAAGTTTCATTACTGTTATAATGTCCTTCTAAAAAGAGCTTCAGTCTGCCTGGGTACAGTACTAGTGTACCAAGATGTTTACATCAGTCATAAAACTTAGTTCCTGTTACTGGAGACAGCTGTTTTAATGTGTTCAACCCTTTATTACCTTAATCTAAGACGTTTGAGTTTAAATAGACAATTCAATTTTAATATGCGATTAATCGTATAGGTATATTATAACAATACATTCCATCAAAATCAGTTTTGTTTGTTTGTGTTTTACATCCTATTACCAGCTATGGTCATTTACAGACATGCCAAGTTTTTGTGGTGGAGGAAAGTTGGAGTACCCAGAGAAAAACCACTGACCACCGACCAAATTGAGCCATTAATGCAATGTCTAACCAAAGTCCATCAAGCACAAAATATGTCACAGTGACCTACATTTTATATTTTGATATAGTACTAGTATACCAGGGCACTTTTGCCCAGTCCAACATTTGCCCTACGCTGATAAAATCTGTATGAATTTGCTAAGTGTTAATTTGGCCCTTAACTTTTGATTGCTATTTTTATTATGTTGTTTACTTATGTTGGCTCTTGTGATAAATTGGCCCTCATTATCGAGGGCAAAAAGGCGAAACTTTAACTGCAGCAAAAATTCCCCAGTACACAATGTTCCTCAAGATGTAAACCCACAAAGAAAGTTTGATGTAAACCCACATAGAAAATTTGATGTAAACCCACATAGAAAGTTTGATGTAAACCCACATAGAAAGTTTGATGTAAACCCACATAGAAAGTTTGATGTAAACCCACATAGAAAGTTTGATGACAGTTTCTGTCTTCTTATAAGAGTAACGGAGCTGGTCATGAAGTCTAACTAAGATGATGGTTGGACAGATGGAAAAGGCGAACACTTCATTTCCTCTCCATTATGTAGTGAAGACATAAAAATTGCCATCTTATATTTCCTTATTTGTACCTAAGGACCATTTCCCAAAATGCGCTCAGAGTAATGCCTATGGTGATTTAAGTCTATAACAAACTGTGAGCACTACCAGTGTTGTCAGCACGGGCCTCAATAGCTGTGTACTAGAACGTGAAGTGAACTTATACTAAACATATATATATCATCAAAAATTGCCATGCAAAGTTACTGATATCTACCAAGTACCATCTACCATCAAAACTAATAACGACAAGTTCAAAAGGCTTTTCAATCATTCATTTCGCCAACTATGCCTGTGGGTTTTATTCGTGAATTCTTGAATTCATGTTTGCGAGGATGCTCACAGTGTATCATCCCTTGTTCTATTTTAAGTACCAGTGAACCTTGACCGGTGGCCACCCTGGATTTCAGGTTTCCTACTCTAATATGCCATTATTCATGTGGGATCTACCAAATACCATTTACATGTAACACCAAAATGAACACCGATGGCTCAGAAAGGGCAATCGAATGTATATATCCCTCTTTTTTAATTTTTATAAACAGGGGCCTTGTCCTTGACCTCAGAAACTTGTTGCATCCCTATTACACATCTACATATATTACAGTGTACAACAATTGAGATTTAAATAATACTAGATTTTTGGATCCTGAGATAAGGAAACCAAACACTGTGATTACTATTGGGCACCCACAGTCTCTACTGCAGGGCCCTAACAAGACCTCATTATTATGTTAATGTATTCAGTTTTAGTTACGCTTTGTGATAATGGAGAATTGTGACACTTACTGTCATCTAGCTATGAAGTACAGTATATCATTTACAAAACATTGCAAACACATGTGCACAAGAATTTGAATTTGTCGCACTAGTGGTAAAGGTCTAATAAGTTTCATTCAAGCTCATACAGTACAGTTCACCTGTTTTCAACGCAAGGTTGACGTGTCATTCTAGTATTCTCTGATTATACTGTACACTTGTAGCTGTGAGTTTGTTATGGCCTACATACAAAAATGTATATATGAAGCGGGTTCATTGTATAACTGACGGAATTGTAGAAGCTTCACTATTATCATATGGTTAACTGGCATGGTATTTTGATATCAATGAATCAATGTCGTAGAGTCCATCCATTTTGATTGTGTGTTCCGCAAAATAGATATTCTGTAAATCTTTCTTTTGATTGGATAGACCATAAAGGAAGGGTTCCATTCATAGAGATGATAACAGTTGTAACCCCTTGCACAATTAATAATACCAACATAAATATGCACTATATACATTTATATGTTTATGGTAACAAGATATGTCTTATTTCTAATCAATATGCAACCTTTTTTTTTATTCATAATGAATTACATCCTTGAAATATAAAGTGACAATCAGCTATGCGGTCAAATTTATATGGGTTTAAATTATAAACTGT